AATTCATGAGCAGTAAATATTGTACTAGTTATCTGTATTGGACCGAAGAAAGCCAGGCAGTTAGTTGCAAGCCTTTGAAATTATGACGCTTTTGATGGGTCAGATAGACTCAAGAAATTGTAACAGCAGCTGAGTGAGGGGGGCCCAATTTAAATTTTTGTCAAGGGGTCCAAAATTCCTGGCAGCACCCCTGCTTGTATTTAAATACCGTAACGTTATTGGCACACAGGTAGAGTAGGAGCTCGGAAACTGTTTAACCAACAGGACGCAGAACACAATGCACTGTGAAAAAAAACTGCACAAAAAAATTCACGAAGCAGCGAGACCGCGAAAGATGAATGGCATTATAGCGAGGGATCACTGTATTTGGGTTACAAGTACATGGTTGGAAGTTGTTTCCCACAGCTGCATGAGAACCAGACTGTCTCACCCATTTGTTTTCAATTCCTTATCCTTGATATAAAACTCGTGTTGACTATGCCTGGCGGACCTTTCCATTCAGAATTGCTTCATTATTGATTGTCCCACAAACTCTTTGTATTGTGCACAATATATGAATAAACCTGATTGAGTGATTTCACCTGAACAGTGCTATGTAATAATTTTTTTCCACGACAATTTGGTGCCGTGACCCGGATCCCTTGACTGGACATCCGAGGATGTTGATGAACAGCATTTTGGTACCGACCTGGACTAAAAGTATTGATAAGTTTCCATCAGACTGGATCAGCTAGTAATTTTGAGTTCACTGTGTCTTCAGGATCCTGAACTATTCTCCTGACATAGACAGCAATCTGACTGATGATGTCGTTGCAAGAGCCTTCAACATGTGGAGTGATGTCACCCCTCTGACATTTACCCGCCTTTTTCAAGGCAATGCAGACATCATGATCTCCTTTGGAACAACTGGTATGTGCTCTTTTTTACATTTCTAAATCAAACCTTTTGCACTCTAACAAATTAAGAAGCTGAATTATAAAAATCAAACATTGATTTTTATATCAATGTTTGATTGATATAAAAATCATGTTTTTTTTAGACCACGGGGATCTATACCCCTTTGATGGTAAGGATGGCCTTCTAGCTCACGCCTTTGCTCCCGGTGTGGGCATTCAGGGGGACGCCCACTTTGACGATGACGAATACTGGACTCTGGGAAAAGGAAATGGTAACCACACCTCAGAAATCACGTGCTTATACCTTCCTCCTTCCTCTGGTGTTCTTTGCACAGATTTCCTTTAACACACAATCCAATCTGTCTTCTCAGTGGTGAAGACGTACGGTGGCAATGCGGGAGGTGCCATATGTCACTTCCCCTTCACTTACGGGGCGAAATCATACACCACCTGCATCACTGAAGGCGTAAACAACAGCGTGCCCTGGTGTGCAACCACAGCCGACTACAACCAAGACAGAAAATTTGGCGGCTGCCCAAGTGAACGTAAGCATGACAAAAATGACAAGCCTGAAGTTATCCATTATGTTTATGAGCTTGTGAAGGAAAACTGGAACTCATCCAACTACGCTTTCAACTGTAATCCTCACAGTCTCGTTCACTGTTGGTGGAAATGCGGGTGGAGTCCCCTGTGTCTTCCCCTTCACCTTCCTGGGTAAGATGTATAAGAGCTGCACCACCGACGGTCGCACCGACGGAAAACGCTGGTGTGCCACCACTAGCAACTATGACACAGACAAGAAATATGGCTTCTGTCCCAAACGTGGTGGGTAACAGGAAACAATGCGTGAAAATCCTGCCACAGTGGCTTGTTGCTTTGTTTAACCACAGTTATTTTGTCTCTGTTTGTCCAGACACTGCTGTAATTGGAGGAACCTCGGATGGAGATGCCTGCCACTTTCCTTTTGTGTACCGGGGCAAGGAATACCACTCATGTACTAGTGAGGGGAGGACAGACGGCAAATTGTGGTGTGCCACGACTGACAGCCATGATAGAGACCAGAAATTTGGCTTCTGTCCCAACCGTGGTGGGTAACAGAAAACACAAGGTGTGAAAGTCCTACCACAGTAGTTTGTTGCTTTGTTTAACCACAGTTATTTTGTCTCTTTTTGTCCAGACACTTCTGTAATTGTGACAAGCCCAGCTGGAGATCCCTGCCACTTTCCTTTTGTATTTCGGGGGATACCATATGACGAATGTACGACTGATGGGAGGACAGACTTTAAATCGTGGTGTGCCACCACTGACAATTATGATAGAGACCAGAGATGGGGTTTCTGTCCTGACCTGGGTGAGCAACAGGAATACAAGAATTTGTTCTGCGTTTATCATTTTATGTAATTTAGTAAATTTCTAACCGGCTATCTTACAGGTTATAGCCTGTTCCTGGTGGCTGCCCACGAGTTTGGACACTCACTGGGTTTGTACCACTCCAACGTTAGAAACGCTCTGATGTACCCTCAGTACAGCTATGTGGAGGATTTCTCCCTGGATCAGGACGACATTGATGGCATTCAGTTCCTCTACGGTGAGTTGACAACTCAGTACTCTTTCACAATGAATCTCGTCAAACACATGAAAACTTTGCCTTAACCAAGAACATTTCCATATTTTGCAGGAAATACACCAGGCCCTGGTCCTACTCTCAACGCTGCAGTAATACCTAATCCGACTAGTTCATCTGTTGTGACAGTGTCACCCACTGTAGATCCCACCAAAGACCCCTGCAAGATGCTCATGTTTGACACCATCACTGTGATTCAGAAACATCTGCATTTCTTCAAAGATGGGTAAGCAAATAGCTAGTTCTACTTATGCTCTAGAAACATAACCTATTGAGGTGCTAATCTTGCATTTCTGGTTGACAGGTATTTCTGGAAGGTATCAAGCAAGACAGATGTAGGTCGAACAGGACCATTTTCCATTTCTCAGAGTTGGCCAGCTCTACCTGCTGTCATTGACTCTGCCTTTGAGGATGTTCAGACCACAAAAATATACTTCTTTTCAGGTAAGGATTATTCTTATAAGAGCTTATCAGAGCACTGAAATGTTAGAAAAAGAATTTTAATCATATTTTATTGTTACATTAGGAACCAGGTTCTGGGTGTACACAGGAAGCAGTGTGCTAGGTCCCCACAGTATTGAGAAGCTTGGTTTGCCCCCAAGTGTACAGAAGGTGGAGGGAGCGCTGTATAGAGGGAAGAGCAAAGTGCTTCTCTTCAGCGGAGAAAACAATTGGAGGTGAGTAGAAATTGCTCCCTTTTTTAGACAAAAGATCTGTAAATTAACCCATCTTGTTAAAGGACATACAGTAGATCTCAATCTCTCTCTGATCCCTACAGGTTTGATCTCAAGACCCATATGATTGACAAAGGATACCCCAAATATACCGACACCATCTTTGGAGGTGTCCCTAATGATGCTCATGATGTGTTCCAGCACAAAGGTAAACATGCCTTCTACCACAACGCTCAGGAACACAAATCCACAAACGTCAACAAAACATGGCATACATTGTGGTCGTTGTAACATCAACGTTTTGTCTTTCAGGCAACATTTATTTCTGCAGAGATCTTTTCTACTGGCGCCTGAATTCTCGCAGGGAGGTGGACCACACCGGCAATGTGAAGTATGATCTTCTGAAATGCCCAAAATAATAAAGAAATAACAACTGAGATACATGCACAGCTGGGCAGTGAGGCTGGAGCAACCAATTGTTTCTTTGTGCAGGTGACTGAAAGACTGTGATGCAGTGTTTGTGCATCATGATTTTGTATGATGTATGTGCTTTATGCAATGTGAACGACTGACTTCTATTGAATTTGGCTGATTATTACTCATACAGCATTGGACTGAATGCAACTCAAAGGCCCAGAAGGAAAAACAACCGTCGTTTGCAATCAGTCTAACATGCTGTGAACTGATGACCATAGTGGCCTGTAATTTGAGACCCATACAAGTAAATTCAACACATGCTTTCTGGATAAAAAAAATTCATGTCTGACTGGTTCAGACCCTTGTCAGTATTCTAATCATTTTATTTTTTTGGTATTTATAACAACATCTAATATTATTATTTTATGTCATGAGCCTATTTGTTTTGTGTGGTTTCATGAGTTTTTCTGAAATTGGTTTCAAAGCCATAATATTAATCATAATTAAAAATATTTATAAAACTAATAATTTTGTACAAATATTCCAGCTTTCAATTCAATAAAAATTATGTGAGAACATTCTTCCTTTGTCAGCGTCTTTATCATTTGCAAATGCTTTAACCCTCCTGTTATGTTGCTTGTCAAATTGACCCGTTTCAAAGTTTACATTTTTTTAAAAAATAGTTAGAAGTATTTTTTCTGCATGAAACTTTTTCTATTTGTCTTAATAGGTGCCCTCTATGTATAAAATAAAAATGGTTCATTTTACACACTTGCAGCCACCTCTGCGTCTATTTGTTACATAGATACTGTTCGGGTCAATTTGACCTGGCATACAAGTTGAAGGGTAAAAAGTTTTAAAAAATGTCAAATTCTATTTGTTTCCTTGCACCTATGAGACATATTTCACCACACACACACACACAAACACCACACCACACTTGCATGTGTCTAGTCAAAATAAGTTTTCATCCGTCTTATATAATGTTGTACTTTTTCAAGAAACTGATACACAACTGCCTTCATTCAATAAACCAGTAAATGAATTTACTTTCATGAGAAACTTCTAATTTTCGAGTGACAGGGCTGAAATGATATCTGAAAGAAAAACCGTATATGGCAAATCAATTTCTTTCTTCCCTACTTTTTCTTCCTTGCACTGCTTTATTAAACAGATACTGAAAGA